AATCATTGTATCTATTTGTAAATATTATTTTGAAAGAATAAGTTACTATAACTGCCAGTTAGGGAACAGATGATGTTATCTAAAAGTGACTTCCTAACATTCTTTCTTTCATTAACTTTGGCTGCTCTTCTTGAATTAAAGTTGAATTATATAATTGTACTTCCAACCCTGAAACTTTTTTTTGCCCTTATTCTTTCTGGCACTTGCTTCAAATGTTTGATAGTTCTAAATATTTCTGCTTCAGAATTTCATAATGGATTTAGCATATAGACAAATGGTTTACTCTGATACTGAGACTGCAACAGCACAAGTAAGTTATGTGTATATGTGAGTGCATGCACACACACATGATAATGGAAAAAACATTAGTAGAAAATCTAAAAATATGAGAGGATAATGATACACAATTTAAGCTAACAAAAAAAGCCCCTCCAACATAACTTCAAAGACAAGAGCAGTTCCATTTAAATTTAATTATATAATAATATTCTTGCTTTATTTATTTATTTTTTGGAGTAAAGCAACATATAGTTGGGAACTTCAAATCTAGCACAGAGGATGTTACTTGTTAAACTAGAAACAAAGTGACAGGCCACTTATGAGCAAGCCTGTTTCCGATCCTTTGAATGAAATATGGTCATTATTTGTTGAATGTCAGTTTGGGTTAGTTTTATTTAGTTTCGGGGAAAGAGAGCAATGGCTCATTTTAGTACATGCACTCACAAAGAAAACCCCATGGAATCTTCTTATTCAGGATTTATGTTTGATCTAAATTATATGCCTGCAAGATTGAACAGTAATACCCTCCTCCACCCTATGCTTTTGAAGAAATGCCATATTGCTTTGTATACAAAAAGTGGTTTTCCTTTTATGTTTCGTGTGCTGTTAATTATGATCTAGATTCTACTAGCTTTATTCATGCAATTGGTTGCTTTTAGCAAAGAAGTTAGATATTCTAAAATTCATCAGTGTATTTCCTGGGAAGAACACTATGGAAAACATGGTGATGGGAGGACTGTGGGTTTTATTTTGCAACATCAGTATCCATGGTGTGCTTAACAGTTATAACTTCTTGCTTTTTGTGATAGTCAGTTGAAAGGCTTCCTTGGATGAAGAAAAGAAAATGAACTTCTTTATGTCTATCTTCAGGCCAGGCATAAAGAGTCCTGTACTGCTGCTTGAACACTCTTGGATTTGTAGTTCCTGAACAGTGATGTGAATCAAAAATTTTTACTACCTGTTCTGTGGGCATGGCTTGGTAGGCGTGGCTTGGTGGGCATGGCAGGGGAATCTTACTGCAAAATCTCCATTCCCTCCTGATTAGCTGGGACTCAGGAGGCAGAGAATAGATGGGGGTGGGGCCAGTCAGAGGTGGTATTTACCGGTTCTCCAAACTACTCAAAATTTCTGCTATCAGTTCTCCAGAACTGGTCAGAACCTGTCTCTGTTCCTGACTGTTCCTGTTGAGTTTGGAAGCTATGGAAATGTGTTTCCGCAGGCATCCTGAATGAGAAATTCAATTCTCTGATTACATCATGACATTTAAATATATTAATTTGAAGCAAAATGAGTCAAACTTGATTTAGCAAAATATTTATAAACCTCAATAATAGTAATTCACTCTGAATTAATTCAGCGAAAAAGCGCTGGAAAACTCTCAGAACCAACCGCATAACCATCCGGAAGAGGTCCCTGGGGATGACTGAAATTCAGGGGACCCGAGGACACCAGATATCTGAGGGGGTCGCCACTCTCGGGCGTCCCCGGACCACACAACCTTCGGCAGCTTTCGAGTTACCTGCGCTGCTCGGTGGTGAAGATGGCGGCGCTGTAATGACGACGACGGCATTTTCCATCGATTCTCGGCAGTTGCGATGTCTGCTGACTCTGTCTGCCAGACTGGGTGAGCCTTTGGGGACCTTGCTTGACTGCCATTGCCCCGGAGAGGGGGTGATCGATCTGTGCTGCTGCCGGGGCTGGGCGAATCGGGGGGCTGGCTGTGCTTGCCGCCGCCATGGCCCTTCCGGATGCCCCCCTCCTCTCCATTTGGCTCAGCCTCCTCGTCAGCGCTGCCTCCTCTTTCCTCCGCTCTCTGCATGATTAGACTTTCCCTTTCAGCGAGTCTTTTCCTCTGCTTGCCCTCACTCCTGTGGGGCCTCCTCCTGCTTCCTCTGCCTAACATCTGGCTTTCCTCTATCTCGGCCTCTGAACACCTGGCCTCTTCCAACCGCAACCTCAGGGCTCGTGGACTCACCACCTCAGCCCCATTTGCTTCGATCATTGCTACCCGCCAATGCCCCTGGAATACCATCTGGAATACCATCTCGGATAGCACCCGCTTAATTCATCTTATTACAGCGCCTTGGACTTTGGATGGATGGGGGCACTTACAGCGAGTGGGGAGGCCCTCTGACATGTCGGTGACACCCACAGTTTGCCCCGTGGTGTATTTGTGGCGCATTTGTTCTGCGGAACGAGTGGCGGAAGATGGCGGAAATACGGGTGGGGACTTAACGTTTCTTCAACTGATGCACCCCCCCTCTTCTTCGATCTGCCTCAGCCACCCTGGACTTTGGACCATTCCAGGCCTACAGGAGTGGGGGAAGACGAGACATTCTCCTGTATACTACCTGTAGACCACCGCTGGTTCTCAACCATTTTGAACTCTAAGAGTCATCTGCACAATTATTAAGATCTGCGCGAACCGTTTTTGTATGTGGAATGTCTGTTGTATGTATGCTAGTGAATGATCCCACTTTTTAATTAATTTTAACTTTTATGCCCTGTTTTATTGTACCTATGTTTTTAATGTTATAGTGGGGTATGGCTGTTGAGAATGGCTGTTTGGTATATATGAGGGGACCGAGAGTGCGGCCTGGAGCCCCCTCCACTGAGTGCAGAAGCAGAAGTGGATGGGGCCCGGACCCGCCTCTCATCCCGGAGTGCATGGGGTGAATGGCCTGCCGAGGAGAGCGGGGGCCGTGGGAGGGGAGGAGGGTTCTACGGGGATTGGGATGGGCCAGAGCATCCTGGTTACATTTGGGAGAGGCAGGTATGACCGGAACTTCAGGGATGGCCATTACCGGGGAAGGAGGGTTCGCTACCTCACAGCGATCCCTCGTTCCGGCCCTGATAGCTCAACTCAAGGATCAGATGGCAAGAGATGTCAGGGCCCAGGTCTCAAGTTGCTGTTGCTAAATGCCA